GACAACAGATGCTGGAAAGGATGTGGAGAAATAGGAACACTTTTACACCATTGGGAGTGTAAATTAGTTCAACCATTGTGGAAGACAGTGTGGCGATTCCTCAAGGACCTAGAAGTAGAAATTCCATTTGACCCAGCAATCCCATTACTGGGTATATATCCAGAGGATTATAAATCGTTCTACTATAAGGACACATGCACACAAATATTCATTGCAGCACTGTTTACAATAGCAAAGACCTGGAATCAACCCAAATGCCCAATGATGATAGACTGGATTGGGAAAATGTGGCACATATACACCATGGAATATTATGCAGCCATCAAAAATGATGAGTTCGTGTCCTTTACAGGGACATGGATGAACCGGGAGACCATCATTCTCAGCAAACTGACACAAGAACAGAAAATCAAACACCACATGTTCTCTCTCATAGGTGGGTGTTGAACAATGAGAACACATGGACACAGGGAGGGCAGCACTACACACTGGGGTCTGCTGGGGGAAATAGGGGAGGGACAGCAGGGGGTGGGGAGTTGGGGAGAGAGAGCATGGGGAGAAATGCCAGATATAGGTGAGGGGGAGGAAGGCAGCAAATCACACTGCCACGTATGTACCTATGCAACTATCTTACATGTTCTTCACATGTACCCCAAAACCTAAAATGCAATAAATAAATAATAAAAAATAACAAAACAAAGAAAAAATCTTCAATACAGCTGGGTGCAGAGGCTTATGTCTATACTCCCAACACTTTGGGAGGCCAAGACAAAAGGATCTCGTAGGCCCAGGGTTTTGCTGTTATAGTGAGCTATAATCATATCATTGCACTCTAGCCTGGTGACAGAGCAAGACTTTGTCTTCAAAAAAATTAAGAAATAATAAATTTAGGCCTGGCACAGTGGCTTATGCCTATAATCCCAGCACTCTGGGAGACCAAGGCAGAAGAATTGCTTGCTCCTCGGTGTTTGAGACCAGCCAGGGTAACATGGCAAAATCCTGTCTCTACAAAATATAAAAATAAAAATTAGCTGGGTGTGGTGATACATACCTATTGTTCCAGCTATTTGGGAGGCTGAAGGTGAGAGGATAACTTGAGTCTCAGAGGTTGAGGCTGCAGTGAACTGTGATTGTGCCACTGCACTCCAGCCTTGGTGACAGAGCGAGAGCTTATCTCAAAATAATAATAATAATAGGCCAGGTGTGATGACTCATGCCTGTAATCCCAGCCCTTTGGGAGGCCTGAGGTCAGAAGTTTAAGACCAGCGTGGCCAACATGGTGAAACCCCATCTCTACTAAAAATACAAAAAATTAGCCAGGCTTGGTGGCAGGCACCTGTAATCTCAGCTACTTGGGAAGCTGAGGCAGGAGAATCACTTGAACCCAGGAGGCGCAGGTTTCAGTGAGCAGAGATTGCGCCATTACTCTCCAGCCTGGGCAACAAGAACAAAACTCTGTCTCATAATAATAATAATAATAATAATAACAATAATAATGATAATAAAAGTTTAAAAACCCGTCAATAGCTACTTACAGCCCTCCAATTTAACAGTACACTCTTTACCCTGGCATTTATAGCTTTCATGATCTGTCTCCAATTTACCACTCTGCCATTTCTATTCACATGCACATTGCACATACCACAGTGATAACTGTTCAACACGTTTTCCTATACCTCCTCTAAATATACTTTATCATTTGTTTTATCGTTGTTTGAAGATGTGTTTTTTCAAACCATTGGACGATGCTCCTTGATTTTAGGATCCTTGTCTTATCCCATTCTGTGTTTCTTTCAATATCTTTTTAGCATCTACACATTGAAGGCACCAGAAATAATTTGTGGATGAACATTAGGCTTGCTGAAGAATACTAAGAACTTCGGCTCCAAGTTTTTTTTTAATCAAAATAAAGATGATTGTCATGATTAGCAACTCCTATTTTAGCCCCTGAGAGCCTTTTCTTCAAAAGAAAAGTAATTAACTGTAATACATTTGGAAAACACAGAAAAGTAAAACAACAACTGCAAAAATCAACACAACCCAAAGGCAGCCAGAATGTTAACATTTTATACATTTCATTGTTTCTCTTTCTTCATGTCTTTTTTTTTTGAGAGTTTCACTCCTGTTTTTTATTTTTATAAAAAAAAATTTAAAACATGGAATGCTTCACAAATTTGCATGTCATCCTTGCGCAGGGGCCATGCTAATCTTCTCTGTATCATTCCAATTTTAGTATATGTGCTGCCGAAGAGAGCACAAGTTTCACTCTTGTTGCCCAGACTGGAGTGCAATGACACAATCTTGGCTCACCACAACCTCTGCCTCCGGGTTCAAGCGATTCCCCTGCCTCAGCCTACCAAGTAACTGCGTTTACAGGCATGTGCCACCACACTCGGCTAATTTTGTATTTTCACTAGAGATGGGGTTTCTCCATGTTGATCAGGCTGATCTCAAACTCCCGACCTCAGGTGATCCAACCATATCAGCTTCCCGAAGTGCTGGGATTACAGGCATGAGCCACCGAGCCCGGCCTCTTCATGTCTTTTATTATGATTATTTATTTTTGAGATGGAGTCTTGCTCTGTCTCCCAGACTGGAGTGAAATGGCAAAATCTCAGCTCACTGCAACCTCAGCCTCCCAGGTTCAAGCAATTCTCCTGCCCCAGCCTCCCAAGTAGCTGGGAATTATATGAGGGCTAATTTTTGTATTTTTAGTAGAGACGGGTTTTTGCCATGTTGGCCATACTGGTATCAAACTTCTGACCTCAGGTGATCTGTCCACCTCGGCCTCCCAAAGTGTTGGGATTACAGGTGTGAAGCACTGCACCCAGTCCATGTCTTATTTATTTATTTATCGTTATTATTTTTTGAGACGAGGCCTTGCTCTGTCACCAGGCTAAAATGCTAATGGCACGATCATAGCTCACTGCAGCTTTGACCTCCTGGGCTCAAGTGCTCCTTCTGCCTCAGCCTCTGCCTCTCAAGTAGCAGGGAATACAGGTGCATGACACTACACCAAGCTAATTTTTAACTCTGAGTAGAGACAGGGTCTCACTCTGTTGCACAGGCTGGTCTCAAACTCTTGGGTTCAAGTGACCCTTCTGCCTTGGCCTCCCAAAGTGCTGGGATTACAGACTTGAGCTACAGTGCCTGAACCCTTTTATCTTTAGTGGTTTTATGTATTTATTTATTTTACTTTATTCATTTATTAGAGATGGGGCCTGGCTATGTTTCTCAGGCTGGTCTTCAACTCCTAGGCTCAAGTGATCCTTCCTTCTCTGCCTCTCAAAGTACTGGGATTACAGGCGTGAAACATGTCCTATAATGGTCTTAGATTTCATTGTTCTGCCTACATTGTTAATGATCCAGTTAGAAAACAATTGTATGGTTATTTCCATTTTACAGATGATGAAACTGAGCCTCAGTTTGAATGAATAGACTATCCGTTAAGTCTGGCTGCAAGGAAACCAGACCTTCCACCTTTGTTGTGGTCCCTACCCTTTCTTGAATCCAGAACCACCCTCTTTTTGAATCCTAACTCTTTCTGAAACTGGGCTGCTTAGCATCTCAGGGCCCTCCAACATGCATATTTTTATAATGAAATGCACAACAAACTTTTACCCTAAACCACTTGAGATAACCTGCTCCTTAGCACCAAAATAACTCAATTAATCATTTAAAACAAGTCACTCTGAGTTGATAATTCTATTTTGGCATGAAAACTGTTCTGACCTCAAGAAGAACTAGCCTATATGCTCAGCCATATAGGTCTACGGGAATTACTATTAACGTTTGACTTTTGCCACACCTCCTCTTATAAATTTCTTTTTCTTTGCCTTTCTTCCTTCCTTCCCTCCTTTCCTCCTCCCTCCCTCTCTCTGTCTCTCTATCTTTCTTTCTTTTTTTGAGACAGACTCTTGCTCTGTGTCCCAGGCTGGAGTGCAGTGGTATTATCTTGTTTCACTGCAACCTCTGCCTCCCGGATTGAAGTGATTCTCCTGCCTCAGCCTCCCACGTCATTGGAACTGCAGGCATCCACCACCACACCTGTCTAATTTTTGTATTTTTTTAGTAGAGACAGTTTTTGTCTTGTTTTTAGAGTAAAACTATTTGGTAGAGGCTTGGACTTGTTTTTTCAGAGGTCCTTACCAGCCCAAGATGTTAAGATTCTGAGTTTCTCAATTGTAGTGCTTTAGAACCCTAAGATTCTAAAGTGTTGAAAGACTCTAAAATCTTGTAATTCTCGTAGAACAACTTTGCAAAGGGAGGGTGAAGCTGTGGAATAGCCAGTTCTTAGCTGTCTCTCCTTCCTGACCTGCCCCACCTCCAAGAGGCTGTCCACTCAAAGTTTGGTTTGTTTATTTATTTATTTTTGAAATGGAGTTTTGCTCTGGTTGCCTGGCTGGCTTACAATGGCGCGATCTTGGCTAACTGCAACCTCCGCCTCCCAGGTTCAAGCAGTTCTCCTGCCTCAGCCTCCCAAGTAGCTGGGATTACAGGCACGTGCCACCACGGTGGGCCAATTTTGTGATTTTAGTAGAGACAGGGTTTCACCATGTTGGCCAGGCTGGTCTCAAATTCTTGACCTCAAGTGATCTGCCTGTCTTGGCCTTCCAAAGTGCTGGGATTACAGGTGTGAGCCACCGTGCCAGGCTTCAAAGTTTAGTTTAAATGCTCAATGGGAAAATATAAAAATTATAGTACATTCATCCATGGAATACTTTAAATGAATCCTATGCATTCATTTAAAATTACAAAGAAAAACAATATGCAAACAATATATAACTTATACAGCATTGTCCCAATTGTGTTAAAATAGATACACAGAGGGAAAAAAAGAATCACAAAAGTTAATCATGATTGTTTCTGGCTGATGGGACAGTATATCTCTTTTATTTCCATTATGCTTTTCTTAATTTCCCAAAATATCCATGTATTTTTATAATAAGAAAAAAAGGTTTTAAGCTCCAACGTGTCAGGTCACACCTGGAGCCGCCAATTTATCGCGTTGTTGCGATACAGAGATGAGTCATCTCAAAGGAGAGGGAGGGGCCAACAGGGCTTTGACTCGGGCTGGCTAGGAAAGGGAGGGACAAGCACTGGGTGGAATCAGCTCAGCGGGACTTTAACCCGGAAGCGCTGACGGTGGCACACCACCAGGCAAAATCCACCTCAAAATCTGGGAATAACGTGGCAGCCGCGGAACAACAAAACCCGCCGGACAAAATCAACCTCACCGCCCTCCGGCAGCTGACCCAGGCCAACCCCGCCCCTTGCCTCTCTCCATTGGTCCGCAGAAGCTCCTTCGGTTTCCCAGGGCCCGCCCCTCTGGAGCTGGGAGAGGAGGCGCGCTCCCTCTTCACTTAGACGCCGGCGGCCATAATGAGTGTGGCATGACAGGGGACGGTGGGTCTATTCTCTATTTTTGCCACCGCTGACTCAATGCACACACTCTGCAAGTGTTTCCCTTTAGTCGTGGGCTCTCGGGACCCGAAATAAACAGGTAATTTACCACTGAAATGATTCTCACGTGGGAGCTGGGCGTTTGTGTGAAGTGCACACATCTTCCGCCCCGCCTCCATTTCCCTGGAGGCCAGTGGGTTCTGATATTCTAGAGGTGATGTCATCGCAGAATCTTTCTAAGGTCCTAATGCCCGAGGTTAGGTTTGCAGAACCGTTCACAATGAGAACTTAGAGACTGGGTGACTGTATAGATTACCGTTCAAACTGGGATAGCTTTGCGAGTCTGGGGGTTATACTATCCATAATTACAATCCATACAACAGTAGTAAATGTGGACTGTTCTGGAGTTTATAGTCACTTTACTTAAAGCCACCCTACTTAGAGTCAGCTCTTTTTTTTTTTAATCGTTGTCAAATATATATGAAAATTTCCATTTTAACAATATGTGTATAATTCAGCGGCATTAATTACATTCACAGTGTCATGCAATCATAGCCATTATATATTTCCAAAATTTTTCATTACCCCAAGCAGAATCTGTGTCCAGTAAGCAATAACTCTCCATTAACCTCTCCCACCAACCCGTTAATCTCCAGTGCCCTTTCTGTCTCTGTGAATTTGTCTATTCTAGGTATTTTACATAAGTGGAATCATACAATAGTTGAGGTTTTCTGTCTGCCTCGTTTCACTTAGCATATTTTCAAGGTTCATCTATGTTGTAGCATGTATTCATAATTTATTTTGTTTTCTAGTTAAATAATATTCCCTTTTATAGACATACAACAATTTGTTTATCCATTCATCTGTTTACAAACACTTGGGTTGTTTCTACCTGTTGGCTGTTGTGAACAAAGCTGCTGCAAACATTTTGTACAAGTATTTGAAGGTCCCAACACTTTTTTTAAATTACATTTTAGGTTTTGGGGTACATGTGAAGAACATGCAAGATTGTTGCATAGGTACACACATGGCAGTGTGATTCGCTGCCTTCCTCCTCATCACCTATATCTGGCATTTCTACCCTTGCTATCTCTCCCCAACTCCCCACCCTCCCCTGTCCCTCCCCTATTTCCTTCCGACAGACCCCAGTGTGTGATGCTCCCCTCCCTCTGTCCAACACTTTTTTTATAAGCCATCCTAGTAGTGAGAAATTATATCTTTGTGGTTTTGGTTTTCATTTCTTTTTTTTTTTTTTTTTTTTTTTGAGACAGCGTTTCACTCTTGTTACCCAGGCTGGAGTGCAATGGTGCGATCTCAGCTCACCGCAACCTCCGCCTCCTGGATTCAAGAAATTCTCCTGCCTCAGCCTCCCGAGTAGCTGGGACTACAGGCGCGTACCACCATGCCCAGCTAATTTTTGTATTTTTAGTAGAGACAGGGTTTCACCATGTTGACCAGGATGGTCTCGATCTCCTCACCTTGTGATCCATCTGCCTCGGCCTCCCAAAGTGCTGGGATTACAGGCGTGAGCCACCGCTCCCGGCCTCATTTCCTTAATGATTAAAAAGGTTGAGGCCAGGCATGGTGGCTCACCTGTTTAATCCTAGCACTTTGGGAGACCGAGGCCAGTGGATCAACTGAGGTTGGGAGTTCAAGACCAGCCTGACCAATGTGGAGAAACCCCCAAAATACAAAATTAGCCAGTGTGGTGGCGCATGCCTGTAATCCCAGCTACTCAGAAAACTGAGGCAGGAGAATCGATTGAACCTGGGAGGCAGAGGTTGTGGTGAGCTGAGATTGTGCCATTGCACTCTAGCCTGGGCAATAAGAGCAAAACTCCATCTTAGAAAAAAAAAAAAGATGAGAAGATGTTAAGCATTTTAAATTATTTATTTATGTATCGAGATGGAGTCTCGCTTTGTCGCCCAGGCTGGAGTGCAATGGCACAATCCTGGTTTACTGAAATTTGCCCCCTTGGGTTCAAGGGATTCTCCTGCCTCAGCCTACCAAGTATCTGGGATTACAGGCACCTGTCACCATGCCTGCCTAATTTTTGTATTTTTGGCAGAGATGGGGTTTCACCATGTTGGCCAAGCTGGTCTTGTGTAGGGTCCAACCCTACAGGGTCCTGTGAGCCCCCCTCTGCTGGTGTGGAGACCAGAAGCTGTAGAAATAAAAGACACAAGACACAGAGATAGAGAAAAGAGAGTTTGGGCCCAGGGGTCCACTGCCAACCAAAGTGCGGAGTCTGGCTGTGGCCCTGAGTGCCTGGACACTTTGACTTTTATTGAGTACAAAGCTGGGGGCAGGGTAGGTAGAGCGTGGTATTGGTGGTCAGTGATAGGGTCAAGTACATCACGTGTCATATAGGTAGGGGCCCAAGGCTTTCTAGTAGCTGAGATGAGGTAAGGAGCATAATTTGTCAGCAGTTTTCCATACTTGTCAAGAAAGAACAAAGACATTAAGATTTATATTATTTTTACTGATTATCTCTTCTAAGAAAAAAGGAACCATGTGCAGAAACAGAACATGAGAGTGGACCTGAAATGTGACCACTGAAGCACAGCATCAGTCACATGGAGACAATTAAGCCCCAGGATGTCTGCGGGCCTACCTGACCACTGTCAGGCCTACTTCAAGAGCTTGGAGGAGCGGAGTTTTCTCCTAATGCCCCCAAGGAAGGAGACGCCTTGGACATTTTGGATATCTCCTTCCCTAGCTGGCTAAACATCAGGCGCTTTCCCAGCACTAGTGCTGCCACACAGCCAAGGTGCCCTCCAGCAGCCCTTATGCAGGTGTGACGGAGGGCTTAAAGTATCTTGCCTTAGGGTCATTCCTTTCACAATGTCACCCCAGGTTCATACTTTGAGACCTGAAAGGCATTAGTAAAAGAACTAAGATCTGGCCAGGTGTGGTGGCTCAAGCCTGTAATCCCAGCACTTTGGGAGGCCGAGGTGGGTGGATCATGAGGTCAAGAGATTGACACCATCCTGGCCAACACGGTGAAACCCCGTCTCTACTGAAAATACAAAAATTAGCTGGGTGTGGTGGCATGTGCCTGTAGTCCCAGTTACTCAGGAGGCTGAGGCAGGAGAATTGCCTGAACCCGGGAGGCGGAGATTGTGCCACTGCACTCCAGCCTGGTGCCTGGTGACAGAGTAAGACTGTCTCAAAAAAAAAAAAAAAAAAAAAAAGAACTAAGATCACATATGAATGCTAAAATCACCTATGAATAACTAAGATCACCTATGAATACCTCTAGTTATGTTTTTCTTCATTATTTATATGGGAATAGGCTGAGACTTCTGGTTCCTGCCTTGGCGCTTGTGGGGTCTTCCTGCCTCAGCCTCCCAAAGTGCTGGGATTACACGCCTGAGCCACTGTGCCCACCCCCATGCATTATTTTATGCACTATATTGGCCATTTGTGTGTGTTCCCTGGAGAAATGTCTATTCAAGTCCTTTGTGCCTATTGTTGGACTGGATTGTCCTTTTTTTTTAATGAGACAGGGTCTGGCTTTCTCAAGAGTGCTGGAGTGCAGTGGGAGGATCATGGCTCACTGCAGCCTTGACCTCCCGGGCTCTTGTGAACCTTCCACCTTCCACCTCAGCCTCCCGAATAGCTGGGATTACAGGTGAATGCCACCACGCCTGGCTTTTATTTTTTAGAGATGAGGACTTGCTGTGTTGCTCAGGCTGGTATCAAACACTTGGGCCCAATTGATTGACCTGATTTGGCCTCCCAATGTGCTGGGTTTTGGGTGTGAGCCACTGCACCTGGCCTTGATTGTCTTTTTGTTGATGAGTTGTGTGAGTTCTTTTTTTCTTTATTTATTTTTTGTTTTTGGAGACAGAGTTTTGCTCTTATCGCCCAGGCTGGAGTGCAATGGTGTAATCTCAGCTCATCGCAACCTCCACCTCCTGGGTTCAAGCAATTCTCCTGCCTCAGCCTCCCGAGTAACTGGGATTACAGGCATGCACCACCATGCCTGGCTAATTCTGTATTTTTAGTGTAGACGGTGTTTCTCCATGTTGGTGACGCTAGTCTTGAACTGCCAACCTCAGGTGATCTGCCTGCCTTGGCCTCCCAAAGTGTTGGGATTACAAGCGTGAGCCACAGCACCTGGCCGAGTTGTATGAGTTCTAGATACATATTCTGGATATTAAATCCTTATAAATATATAACTAGCAAATATTTTCTCCCATTATATGGGTTGTCTTTTCAATCTCTCAATAGTGTCCTTTGACGGACAAAATTTTTTTATTATTGTCAAGTCCAATTTATTTATTTTTAGTTGTCTGTGCTTTTGGTGTCATATTTAAGAAACCATTTTCAAATTCAAGGTCATACAGCCTATCTCTTTTTATAGGTGTAGAAATTGAAGCCTAAGGCCAGGCACAGTGGCTCAAGCCTATAATCTCAGCACTTTGGGAGGCCGAGGTGGGCAGATCACCTGAGGTCAGGAGTTTGAGACCAGCCTAGCCAATATGATGAAACCCTGTCTCTACTAAAAATACAAAACTTAGCCGGGCATGATGGCCCATGCCTGTACTCGGGAACCTGAGGCAGAAGAATAGCTTGAACCCAGAAGGTGGAGGTTGCAGTGAGCTGAAATCACATCACTGCACCCCGGCCTGGGTGGCCGAGCAAGACCCTGTCTCAAAAAAATAATCCCAGCACTTTAGGAGGCTGAGGCGGATGGATCACAAGGTCAGGAGTTCGAGACCAGCCTGACCAACATAGTGAAACCTCATCTCTACTGAAAATACAAAAATTAGCCAGGCATGGTGGTGCACGCCTGTAGTCCCAGCTACCCAGGAGGCTGAGGCAGAATTGCTTGAACCTGGGAGGCAGAGATTGTGGAGCTGAGATTGCGCCACTGCGCTCCAGCCTGGGAAACAAAGCGAAACTCCATCTCAAAAAAAAAGAAAGAAAAGAAAAGAAATTGAATTCTATTGGGAAAAGACCTGAGTGTGCAAGATTTCTGGAAGTTAAGACAGCTGGGACTAAAGCCTACAGTGAGCTATGCATTCCAGCCCGCGCAACAGAGTTCTTTTCACAACCAGTGCTATAAAAACAACTTTAAAGACCAAGCACGGT